GGTGTTGGGGAGCTCCATGAAAGATTGACTGGTCCTTGTTCTGAAAAGCTTTTCAACTTTCTGGACCAGACTGAAGGCTTCTGTGTTTTCTGAGGTCCAAGGTCAACACAGTCGTCTACCAGGAAATTTTAGAGAACTTCATGCTTCCTGTTGCTGACCAACTTTATGGAGATGCAGATTTCATTTTCCAACAGGACTTGGCACCTGCACACAGTGCCAAAGCTACCAGTACCTGGTTTAAGGACCATGGTATCCCTGTTCTTAATTGGCCAGCAAACTCGCCTGACCTTAACCCCATAGAAAATCTATGGGGTATTGTGAAGAGGAAGATGTGATACACCAGAGCCAACAATTCAGAAGAGCTGTGTAGGGATGGCACCATCTAGTGGGCCTTCCCTTGTCTGTTCTCCCTTGTGTCTGTATTGATTGTCTGATTATCGTCACCTGTGTCATGTCCTGGTTGTGTATATAAAGTCTGTCTGTCAGTTCTGTCGTCGTCGGTTCGTTGTTGGGTATTGCCTGTCTGAGCCTGTTCCTGTTCCTGAGTCTGTTCTGTAAGTTTTGCTGCCATGTCAGCTTTTTGATTTATTATTACTATTAAAGTATTTTATTTTATACGTCTGCCTCCTGAGTCCTGCCTGCGCAACTGGGTTCTCCTGTCCTGATCTGCCTTGAAAACCCTGACAAGCTGAAGGCCACTATTAGAGCAACCTGGGCTCTCTTAACACCTGAGCAGTGCCACAGCCTGATCGACTCCATGCCACGCTGCATTGATGCAGTAATCCAGGCAAAAGGAGCCCCAACTAAGTATTGAGTGCTGTACATGCTCATACTTTTCATGTTCATACTTTTCAGTTAACCAACATTTCTAAAAACTTTGTTGTTTTCAATCAGTTTGACAAAACTGTCAACAAGGAAGAGGGCTGGCAATGGAGGAGGGGCATACCAAAGGGACCATCTAATCACAAGCAGAACTGGTTTGTTCCACTTTGGAGTAAGCTGTTGGAGGAAGAATCAGTTTTGTTTGTTTCCTTGACTGAAGCCTTCCGGATCAAAGGTGAGATGTTTCAAAAAAAAAAAAAAAAACGTCCAGATTACCTGATTGAAAAATGTTGGATTTCTAAAACTTTTTTTTTTTTTTTTTTTTTTTTTTTAATTGGTCTTAAGTAATATTCAAATTTTCTGAGATACTGAACTTCGGGTTTTCATTAGTTGTCAATTAAAATCATCAACATTAAAATAAACATTTGAAATATATCAGTCTGTGTGGAATGAATGAATGAATATAATATACAAGTTTCACTTTTTGAATGGAATTACTGAAATCAACTTTTTCATGATGATCTAATTTTATGACCAGCACCAGCAGTATGTCTTCTATTCTGGCTTTTTTTTTTGTCATTCTTAAAGAAGTTGAAGGGAGGTGGGTTTTTTTTTTTTTTTTTGGTTTGTTTGTGTGGGCAGCACGGTGGCACAACTGGTAAAGCTGCTGCCTCTCAGCGAGCAGGTCCCTGGTTGAAATCCTGGTCCAAGGGCCCTTCTGGATGGAGTTTGCAATTCTCTCCATGCATGCATGGGTTTTCTCTGGGTACTCTAGTTATCTCCCACAGACCAGTAAGTTAGACTGATTGGTAACTTGTCCCTGTGATGGACTTGAGAATTGTCCAGGGTATACCTCGCACAGTGATTGCTGAACATGGGCACCAGCGACCCCTGTGACCCAAAATGGAAGAAGCGGGTAAAAGATGATGGATGTGATGAAATAAACATGTTTGTCTGAAAAGTTGTTTTTCGTGGTAATACTTTGATGGTCCAAATTTCAAAATCCACTGTGAAAATTTTGAAACATCAACATAAAAGCCACACCTTGTTTAGACATCCTTGTATTTCTCAAGTTTTACACACTATGCTGGTTTAATAATAAACATCTTGTAATACGATATATATATATATATAATCAGATTAGGCGACGGGGCCAGCATCAGTTACCATGGAGATCAGATGGTTCAAGTTGGGCTTACTTCTGGGTTCAGAAAACTACCGTCTTTCAGAATTTTCTGTTGTTCTTAATCTACAAACAAAAAAAACCCGTCAGGATTTAAGGTTTTCGCAGCGTAAAAATCAAATTCATATTAATTCACCGCCGTTTTGAACGTGTAAATATTCAGCAAGCTGCACGATGTGGGTCAGAGAGAACTTCCCCACTTTGCCACTTGGCAAAAATGAAATCATGAAAATCAAAACTGAGCGCTCGTTATCCGTTTTTTTCCATTTTCATTTTGTGCACAAAATCGGACATCGGATTACGCTTCGTTGTCCGATTTTTCGTTTTGGTTTAATAAACGGAAAACAAGTGTGTTTTTGTTCATTTTTTGTTTCAAACGAAAAAACAAACTGTCCGAATGTACACGGACCGCGATGGGTTAAACGCAGAGAACCAATTTCGCCATTGTAATGATGACAACACATCACGTTATTTATATGTATAAAGTCATCAATCAAACTAATGAAGTTGATTGCTGAGCTTACCTGGTCTCAGAAATCAGAGCTCCAGGAGGCTGTTTCTTCCTGGAAAACTGATAGATCTGCGTCTTTGATCTTTCCTTCTCTTTTTCCTCCTCACTTTTGCCTGACGAGTTGTCATCAGTTGCCAGTGGTTCATTTCCCGTCCCGTCATGGTCTCTGCTGCAGGATGGGCTGTTGGAGACCTAAGCTCAAAAAAGACATGGGCAAATTTACCAAATCTGCTTCAGGACACCAAGAGAGACAAAAAATCAACACTTGAGCAATGTATTTTCCATTTTTTCATAAAACTAATAAAAAAAAAACTTTGTTTTCTTTACATGCACTTAAGTGTAGAAAACATTTATTAAAATCTATTTAACTTGGTAGTGTTCAAAGTAATGAACCATGAAGTTGTCAATAGATGTTCAGCAAGGGTTTATCCTTGGACCATAACAAATGTATGCAGATAACACTATAACTTAGCAATATATGTAATAGTGTAGTAATGAATATATGTAGTAGTGTAGTAATGAATATATGTAGTAGTGTAGTAATGAATATATGTAGTAGTGTAGTAATGAATATATGTAATAATGTAGTAATGATAGCACTATGACTTATGTTGCTAAAAAAAAAAAAGACACTGGTTCATGTCACAGCATGGGTGGTTGGTTAAAATGGTTAAACTATAACGTTCCTGGAGAAACTTAGATGGGGACTGCTACATGGTAGCCATTTTTAAATTTAGATGACAGACATGTCTATGGTTTGATACATATTATGTATCTGTATTTTAAAAGATGTGGTGGTAGGAAGAGTTTGTTCGATGACATTCTGAGTTTTGTTCAGAGACCTCTCCCCTCTAGGTCATGTTGACCTCAATGTGGCAGTTAGAGGCTGTTTTATTCAGTGTTTTTAATGAGAAAAATGTCGGCTTTGTTTGCAAATTACATCGCCATGGTAACTCAAAACGCCAAGAAAAGTAATAGCACACATCACAGTGTGGAGCCAGTTGTTTTGATATAAAATTTGTGGGGGTAGACATTGTGGTTTGAGCTGCATTAAAGTTGATAGAAGAGCAAGACCCATTTCAGGTGGATAATATTAGGTGACTGCCTAGTGCAGAATGCAACTTTTTAAGTTTGGAGAATGTTGTATAATATTTCAAATGTTTGTATTGTGTACAAGATTGTAAATTGCCTGACTTCCCTACTCAGTCAGTTTGTTCTAATAAAATGCTATACTATCAGCTAACTGATAGTTCAGTGAGAGAAGATTGTGTCATTCTATTCAGGAAATGTATTTTAGCTCAGTTTGCATTTTATGCAAAAGCTGTGCTGGACTGGAACTTCGTTCTATAAGAAAAGTGTTTTCTTATAGAACTTTTTAGAACTATTTTTTTTTATAACTTTTATTTTATTTAAATCTCAGTTAAAGAAATGGTTAAACAATACTCAGGTTTTGTCATTACTGAAGAGACTTTACTGTCTGTAGCCATCTGACATAGTTTTATTAAGATTTGGTGTATATCTTAATAACAGGTGTTTATCTTTTTATTTCTATGTTTGATGTAATAAAATTGTATTCTGGTTTTAGTGTGACTTTTTAACACCTGCCGAAGAACAACATTTACAGTAATCTTCACTAATGTCCAATGTTCTTGTTCAATAAATTAATAACTTAAACTATATGTGACAGTTTTGTGGTGAATGGCACAGATGTTACAGAAGGTGAGCCTGTGATCGGAAGATCGCCGGTTCAACTCCTAGTACCGAACACATCACAATGTGGGTGGGATAGGTGAAGCACCCACACCTGCCTCCACCCACATTCGTCCCACTCTGAGCCCTTGGGCAAGACCCTTAACCCCCACCATCTGCTCCCCGGGGTACCCTAGATAGCAGTTCTCTGCTCCACACAGAGGGTTGTGGTAGTGCAGTGATCTGTGGTTGCATCAGGAAGGGCATCCAACATAAAAATAATTGCCAAAAAATTGTGCGACTTTGTTCGCTGTGGCAACCTATAAAGAAGGGAGAAGCCAAAAAAAGAAAAAAAATATACCTGTATATGTGACAGTTTTGCCTTTGATTGTAATCTGTGTAAAAAAAAAATTTCAATGTCAGTATGAAATTTTGTATGTAAAAAAAAAATTCTGACTGATTTAGTACACTTAAGGGTAACAGTGCTACTACAAACATTGCTGTCCTAACACCCTTTTGGTTGTTTACCTTCTCAGGGAATTCTTAGTTTTGTTTTAATCAGTCTAATCTACGTATTCTTGTTGGCTAATAATGCCAGAGCCCATCCTTTATGTATATTTATGGACAGGTATAATCGTTACCTGAGTATCGTAAGGTCTTTTGTCGTCCTCAGGGCCCCTGGTTTCGACCGTCTTGACTGACATGGGGGAAGTGGTGTAAATAGTTGGACTGAGTCTCTGTTTACAGTGCAGCAGAGACAGAGCTGTCTTACTGCAGAGCCCAGGTGGGTTGGGGTCATAGCTGCTTGTAGACCAAGATGAATACACTGAAGGCTTCTGTTTATCCAGAGCAGAAGGATTTGGCTTAATGTAGTTCAAATAGCACCAGCTATTACAGGTGCTGGAGAGCAGACTGGGGAACGAGACTTTAATGCTTGAGACGGGAGAACAAACATCAGGTAAACACGACTGGCTCTCTTCTTTGAGGTCTTGATTGCATCTGTCAACAGTTGCTGGGTCAGTACATCCCACCTCTTCTTCATCCTCTTCTTCTTTCACTCTTTTCTGCTGTTGTGGTGACTCAGGATGGAGCTCAATACTGCTTGAAGGGGAAAGCATGCGTTTGTTGCCCCCAGAGCCTGACAACCTCAGGCCATCGTCAGACCACAGGTGCAGATCTAAACTCCTGTTTTTGCAGTTTCTGTATTCAGCTGCTGAACTACCTAGAAAAGGTGCACCAGCATCAACAGCCTTCTGGGGCTTCGGCGAGGTGCACCGAGAGAGAGTAGTATATATTGCACATGCTGGGATCAGGGTGTTTGTTTGGAGACGAACTGCTACTGAAAGAGATGTGAGGGGCCTCAGGAGTTCCGAACTGGAAGTAATGAGAGGGACAGATTGCTGGTTATGGCAGTGACTGATTTGAACCTCTGAATAATAATTATGTGTGGGAATCTCTAGCTTCAGCCCTGTAGCAATGGGGAGATAATGGGCTCTGGCTGCCCCTGATGCTCCATATGTAGGACTGGACTGTGGGGCTTGGGGAGGAAGCTGCTCTGAATGGATGTATAAGGCCTCCTTTATTTCACCCACAGAAAAGTCAGAGGTTTTTGGGAGTTCTGTGTTTGCCATCAAATGTATATTTTGATTCAGTTTCCGCTGAGAGAATATGTCTTTGCAGAGCGGCCCCTCTGTATTGCTCTTGACTCTGCCTCTTAATAAAGAGGAACAAGACAACTTACTGTAATACACAGAACTGGGGCTTGTTTGAGATGATTTGCTAGGACTGATATGTTCAGGACTATGACTCACAATGGTACACTGGTCGTCATCATCCTCTTGATCTCTGATTGCTGCATGTCTCATCAAAAGGCATTTTCTTCTTTCTTTCCAGCCAACTGCAGTGTGCTCTTGGGAAAGACAACTATAATCAAAAGACTTACTGCGGGTCTCAGTTGCTAGGATGCCTGTTTGTGGATCATGAGGGGCTTGCTCAGATGCTGAGCGCCTCATCTCTCTGTGCTGATGCACACCAGGTGCCATCAACATGTGAGGAGCTCTTGAGCTTCTCAGTGCTGTTGACGTTATTAGTTCCATGTCTGCTCTATTTGGCTCTTCATAAGATGTAGAGCGGCTAGATGCAAATGATGCACTACTGTCTTGACTAGGACTACGAGGCAGAGATACGGAGTCAAAACTGGATTCCCCTGAGGACTGGGCAGCCTCAGCTAGACGTAAACGCTTTTTCTTGGGTGGAAGCTTTTCAATAGGAAGCTGTGCCAAAGAGGGACTTTGTTGTGGCCAATGAAACTCATCAAACTTCTCATTTTTTTTTGCTGTGTTGATTGTCTCCAATGAGGTCTCTGGAACATCTACTGGTCTATTTTCTGTTACAAGTATTTCTGGAACCTGCACATTCTTTTGGCGAACAAGCTTTTGAGCTGTATATTTTGGTGACTTGTGTTGGGGTTGTTTTTCAGAGACCAGCTGATATTCCTTATGTGGTGGTGAGTTGTTTTTTTTCTCCAAGCTTTGATTATCACAACAGAAAGATTCTTGTTTTTCAAATAAGCTTGTGTGTTGAATCACTGAACAGGTTTGCAGGGCAGACCTTCTGGGGTCTTCATGAGCTCCACCATGTTCGTTTTTACATTGTTCTGATAAGACGCCAGAGGAGGGCAATAATGAAGAGGGGTCATCAAACTCAAAACTCTCCTCTTTTCTTCTTTTGCGGATTGTGGAAGCACCCGCTCTGACTAAATGGTTACTTAACTGTGATGGTTTTAATTGACTCATTACCACCTCAATTTGTGGATGATGTGTAAAGCACAGGTTTTGTTTGTGTTTTTTATATCCTTCCCAGTCCTTGCAACCAGTGCCATACGTTTCACATTCATAAGGCTGTGGTAGGTATTGCTTGTATTCAGCTACAGTGCTTCTGTTTTGGGGGTAAAATAAATTAGAAGACTTGTACTCAATTGTAAGTTCAGTACCTTGTGGGATTTCAATTGCTGGCTGCCTCCTTAGTGTTCCATAACGACAGGATGCCTGATTCACAGAAGGCTGTTGTTCATCAAAGGACTGACTTGAGCAAAATTTGCCTGAGCCATCATTGGAGGTGTTACATGAACTACATTTTGAGGGCATTGAATGACTTCTAACTAGAGAGGCAGTAGAAATTTGGCTGACTACTTGCTCTGCTTTAAGGGATGGATGATGAAATTTTGCACATGGAACTCCCATGCTGATGGAACCAGTACTTTTATAAACCAGATCTCTAGCTTTGGGGCTGTGAATAAGCTGTTCTTTTACACCTGGACTCCTCTGAGCCTCTGAACTGTTCTTTCTGGACAATGAGAATCTCCTTGGTTTTACACTGTCAATTTTACTGGTGTCCACCACTGCCTTGTTGATGGTGATAAGTTTAGTGATATGGTCAATGACATGCTTTTTAGGTACAGTGAATGACATACTTTTCTCCTCCTGACCAGAGACACACTGGTTCTGATTATGAGAGATCCTCTGTAACTGTCCAAGATGTCCATATTTACCGAGGATGATCTCTGCATAGCTTTTGGCACTTGTGTTTGGAGGGCTGTCTTGTAACTGTTCAGTACTTTCAGACTGTGAAAAGTAGCCAGATTCTGTACTGCCTTTACTACCTAGTGTTAGAAATGACATCTTTTCATCAGATGAGTCTTGAGTAGCAGGTTTCCCTCTACTCAGACGGAGGGCCAGTCTCTTTTTTACTGCATAGGAGTCATTAGTTCCTCCTGTGCAACCTTTGACCATTTCATGGCTTTTAGCTGAGGTTGCGCTGCTTTGTCTCTCTGTGAGGGACGAAATAGATGACAGCTGTCTACTATCATCCTCTGACTCTGTGACTTGATCTTCGTAAGATTTTGTCTCCCCAAGTGTCAGACCTGCCTTTACCCTGTGGGTATGTGATTTCTGGTGTTTGTACAAGTTACTCTTGGTCTTAAAAGAGAAGCCACATGGGGCACAAGGATAGGGTCTTTCGCCTGTGTGAGAACGGATATGTTTCTGTAGGACACTAGGCTTTGCACATGCACGACCACAATACGTGCAAACATATTTTCCTGGTCTCTGAGGCTTATGCTCACATTTCAGTTTGGGCTTGTCCTCTTGGGTTTCAGATGTGGACTCAGTAGAGGGATCTGATGAAGTAGGTAAGACTCCTGATGACAAGTTGGAACATGCAGTGTGTTTTGCTGCTGTTGCTGCTGCTTCCTGTTTGGGTTCCAGTACTGTATCCAAGTCAACACTTTGCCTCTGGTGACGCAGACGTTTACATTCAGGGTTCTGTCTTCTGGACTGCTTGAGCTGCTGTGATATTCTATGAGGTTTTGATGAACTAATTTGCTTTTGCAGATAGGGCTGGGAAGGAGACTTGCACTGAGGAGATTCTGGTTGGTGATGTTCTAGACCTCTGGACTTGTCCCCAGTCTTTAACTGACTATGCAAGGCCTCCATAAAACAGAAGGAATGCCCAGGTAGACCCTTGGATTGTGTCTGCCTGAACCAGGCTACAGATTTAAAGCCAAATCATTAACTGGGTTTGTATATGGTATTTTGATTATTTACATTATTTGACTAGCAGACATCATAATGTTTGCTTGATAGATTTAAACTCTATTGGTGGGCAAAATACTAAATAATGTCACCATATACAGAATAGTAACATTGAATAATTCAACCTAAACAGCTCATGTTGTGTGGAGAATTTTTTCTCAGACATCCAGCACTGCTGTCACTCATCCTGATATTCATCCGGCTAAGCAGATTGTGTGATTCTTCTGTCTTCATATCATAAGGATCTGTGAAAGAAAAACAACTTATTTCACATGATACCCCAGCCAATTGTCTAATAATGATAATGATAATGTTCATCTTCTAATATTTCAGTTGTTGACATGCGAACTAGAATGGTTCAGTACCATACTTTCTCAATATGTGCACTTATGAAGAAGTTCTCTTCAGAATAACAACATTTAACTTTCTCAATTTCTAAAATATTTTTTAATCTTTATTTTTCCAGACCCTGTGTCAGTGTTTTTTATTGAACACAATTGCATTATGCTAATACAAATCTCACAATGCAAGAAAAAAATAAAGCTACAAGCAGAATTGAAGGCCCTCGCAGCAAAGTGCCAATCCGGCCTTACGGCAACCGTGGAAGCTCCAGCTATTCCTCCCAGTTGCCATCGCCAACGCTCTCATGCCTATCCTGCACTCATTCACCAGGGTGCGCATTTGCCAAATCTTCGACATCACCTGCGACCGCGGGAGCTCCAGCAACGCCTCCCAGTCACAATCGTGCACGCTCTCATTCCATTCCCGCATACGTCCGCCAAGGTGCGCATATGCCAAATTTTCTAAATCACTTCTGCCCATATCGGTACGAGTCCAGCTGCAAGCCTTACAAGTTTGTCCAAAATCCGACCTACCAGACATGAGTTATTTTGACTTCCTGTTTACTGGCAAATGTTTGACGAACACATCCTTTATGCTTTTCAACATGTCATGTCAAAAATGTAGAGGGCACACTGGAGTCAAATGTTAAAGAACAATACCAATGTGTATACAAGTGCTCACTGATGTCTCACAAAATATCTGGTGCAGATCGGATGATGTATCATTGAGAGATAACTGACGAAATAAAGTAGGGGGCACACTGGAGTGAAATGTTAAACAACAATACAATGTGTGTAGAAGTGCTCACTGATGATGCACAATAAATATGGTGCATATCGGATAATGTATCACTGAAATATAACTGTTGGAATAATCTAGGGGCGCACTGGAGTCAAATGTAAAGAACAATATCAATGTGTATATAAGTGCTCACTGATGACGCAAATTAAATGTGGCGCATATCGGATGATGTATCCATGAGATACAACCATTAGAAAAATCTAGGGGGAGCACTGGAGTGAAATGTTAAACACCAATACCATTGTGTGTAGAAGTGCTCGCTGATCACACACAAGAAATCTGGTAAATATCGGATGATATATCACCGAGATATAACTGTTGGAATAATCTAGGGGGCGCACTGGAGTTATATGTTAAACCACAATATCAATGTGTTTAGAAGTGCTCACTGATAAAGCACCAAAAATCAGTTTCAAATCAGATGATATATCACTGAGATATAACTGCTGGAATAATCTAGAGGGCGTACTGGAGTCAATTGTTAAACCACAATATCAATGTGTGTAGAAATGCTCACAGATGACGTACCAAAAATCTGGTGCAGATCAGATGATGTATTACTGAAATATAACTGTTGGAATAATCTAGGGGGCACACTGGAGTCATATGTTAAACCACAATATCAATGTGTCTAGAAGTGCTCACTCATGATGCACAATAAATCTGATGCAGATCATACGATGTATCACTGAGCTATAACTGTAGGAATAATGTAGGGGGCGCTGTGGAGGCTATTGGCCACTTATCATGGATACCTGTTCAAGGGGTGGATAATGATTGATCATAGTGATTTTGGTACAGCTCGGCTCAAATCTGTGCAAGGTAAAGCCAAATGTATTGCAACAACATAACTTCTTAATTCGCCATGCTGCCATGCCCACATCCTCCAGCACAAACGGTTTGCGCTTTAAAGCAAGTCAGACCAACTTGTTAAATGTCTTCTAACACAGGAGCATCTTGATTTAGAAACATCTTATCTAAAAATGATGCAGAAAAACTGGCCCATGCATTTGTCACGTCTAGACTGGACTATTGCAATGGTTTATTATCTGGGTGTCCAAATACTTTTTTAAAACGTCTTCAGTTGATCCAAAATGCTGCTGCCAGAGTCTTAACTGGAGTTGGTAAGAGAGATCATATCGCTCCAGTTTTAGTTTCTCTCCATTGGCTCCCTGTCAAATCCAGAATAGAATTCAAAATCTTACTTCTAACCTACTAGGCTCTCAACAACATGGCTCCATCTTATACAGGTCCTTCTCAAAAAATTAGCATATTGTGATAAAGGTCGTTATTTTCCATAATGAAATAATAAATAATAAAAATGAAACTTACATATATTTCAGATTCATTGCACACCAACTGAAATATTGCAGGTCTTTAATTGTTTTAATACTGATGATTATGGCATACAGCTCATGAAAACCCAAAATGCCTGTTTCAAAAAATTAGAATATCATGAAAAGGTTCTCTAAACAAGCTATTAACCTAACCATCTGAATCAATGACGTAACTCTAAACACCTGCAAAATATTCCTGAGGCTTTTAAAAACTCCCAGCCTTGTTCATTACTCAAAACCGCAATCATGACTGCCGTCCTGACTGCTGTCCAGAAGGCCATCATTGACACCCAAGAGGATAAGACAAAGAAAGAAATTGCTGAACGAATAGGCTGTTCCCAGAGTGCTGTATCAAGGCACCTCAGTGGTAAGTCTGTGGGAAGGGAAATGTGTGGCAGAAAACGCTGCACAACGAGAAGAGGTGACCGGACCCTGAGGAGGATTGTGGAGAAGGGCTGATTCCAGACCTTGGGGGACCTGCGGAAGCAGTGGACTGAGTCTGGAGTAGAAACATCCAGAGCCACTGTGCACAGGCGTGTGCAGGAAATGGGCTACAGGTGCCGCATTCCCCAGGTCAAGCCACTTTTGAACCAGAAACAGCGGCAGAAGTGCCTGACCTGGGCTACAGAGAAGCAGCACTGGACTGTTGCTCAGTGGTCCAAAGTACTTTTGTCGGATGAAAGCAAATTTCGCATGTCATTCGGAAATCAAGGTGCCAGAGTGTGGAGGAAGACTGGGGAGAAGGAAATGCCAAAATGCCAGAAGTCCAGTGTGAAGCACCCACAGTCAGTGATGGTCTGGGGTGCCATGTCAGCTGCTGGTGTTGGTCCACTGTGTTTTATCAAGGGCAGGGTCAATGCAGCTAGCTATCAGGAGATTTTGGAGCATTTCATGCTTCCATCTGCTGAAAACCTTTATGGAGATGAAGATTTTATTTTTCAGCACGACCTGGCACCTGCTCACAGTGCCAAAACCACTGGTAAATGGTTTACTGACCATGGTATTACTGTGCTCAATTGGCCTGCCAACTCTCCTGACCTGAACCCCATAGAGAACCTGTGGGATATTGTGAAGAGAAAGTTGAGAGACGCAAGACCCAACACTCTGGATGAGCTTGAGGCCGCTATCGAAGCATCCTGGGCCTCCATAACACCTCAGCAGTGCCACAGGCTGATTTCCTCCATGTCACGCCGCATTAAAGCAGGCATTCATGCAAAAGGATTCCCGACCAAGTATTGAGTGCATAACTGAACATGATTATTTGAAGGTTGGTGTTTTTTGTATTAAAAACACTTGTCTTTCATTGGTGGGATGAAATATGCTAATTTTTTGGGACAGGCATTTTGGGTTTTCATGAGCTGTATGCCATAATCATCAGTATTAAAACAATTAAAGACCTGGAATATTTCAGTTGGTGTGCAATGAATCTGAAATATATGAAAGTTTCATTTTTATCATTACATTATGGAAAATAATGACCTTTAACACAATATGCTAATTTTTTTTAGAAGGACCTGTATTACAGATCTTATTGTGCCATATTTTCCTAACAGAGCACTTCGCTCTCAGGCTGCAGGTTTACTTGTGGTTCCTAGAATTTAAAAAAACAAAATGGGAGGCAGATCCTTCAGTTATCAGGCTCTCTTGTGGAACCAACTTCCAATCTCTGTCCATGAGGCTGACACATTATCCAGTTTTAAGACTAGGCTTAAGACTTTCCTTTTTGCTAAATCCTATATTTAAGGTCAGCTTGGGTTTCCTGAGCTGCCCCTTATTTATGCTGCTATAGGCTTAGACTGCTGGAGGACAAACTGACCACACTTTTTCACTCTGCTACTGTCTTTACTTACTCTGCTCAACCTGTTTTGTAATTGTAATTATTTTTTCTATCCTTAACATGTGTTTTTTTGTCTTTCAGATACACCTGGACCTATATCTCGAACTACCATTCTGTGTTTGTTTGTCTCTCCTTTCTGTCCTCTCAAACCAGCTGGTCAAAGCAGATGGCCGCTTGTCCTGAGTCTGGTTCTGCTGGAGGTTTCTTCCTTTTAAAAGGGAGTTTTTCCTTTCCACTATTGCCACTGTGCTTGCTTAGGATGGGAGACTGCAATGAAGCCAAGATTCAACTTGTCTGCTAGCCTCCTTAGATAGAGAACTTTAATAATTCGCTTTTATGTATGTGAATGTTCCTGTAAAGTGCCCTGAGACAACTTTGTTGTGATTTGGCGCTATATAAATAAACTGAATTGAACTGAATTAAATTAGGTCAAGGGTGTCAAGTGTTTCCCCTAGTTAACTTGCCATGGCAGGGTGCTAATCTCATTCATGATTTTTGTTGATGGGGGGACAGACACTTGTCTGAGCGCAGCTTGTACTAACAGTTTTTGAGTGGGGGCAGGGGGCGTTTAGCATGAGGGAAGAGGCAACATGAGTGCTTCCTTTAGCTTTTTAGCTAGAGAACCTGTATTTCTTGCTGCTAGTTTAGTGGTATGTCAGTGCCGGGTGGGC